TGCATTTCTTTTTGAATTTTCATTAAACAATTTACATGCACATACAAGTACTTGGTTGGCCACACTTCCACATCTCTCCAAATACCTCAAAATTGGAACAAAACTCACCAAGAACTCGACTCCTAATCTGGCTGAAATCATAATTCCAACATTCCATCAATACTTCTTCCATATTTCATCTATAATTCGCCAAATCATCACATACAAATGAACTACTGTTCATGTCTGAACTTTTACACATCATTCAAGTATTTAAATGGCCAACAATTCTCTTAACATGACCATCAACTTCAATTGTTATACATGCCCTTCTTTCTTCTTTTCTTTTGCCTACTGTCTATACATTAATAGAATTATAGAAGTATTAATCATTGTAAATACAATTTAACATATGGCACAATACATATGTATATATCAAAAGAAATAATTAGATGAATTTTCCCGTTGTAATATCTAACTAATAGAATTATAGAAGAGTAGAATTTGTGAGAGATAATGTAATTGTGTACGTGTACATTTTACATTCTCTTAACATGACCATCAACTTCAATTTTTATACATACCCTTCTTTCTTCTTTTCTTTTGGCTACATTCTATACATTAATCTATATTACCATATTAATCATTGTAAATACAATCTAACATATGACACAACATATATACTTTGGCTAAATTCTAATTTCTTTCTAACATTCTTAACTAAATTTTTGGCCAATACAAAATATTCTCAAGATCTTCTAGCACAATTCTATAGCTTGTAATATATAATAAGGCATACATTTAGTTATTATCTAACTTTCATAGTAAAACATCATAAATTATGTTTTAATCTCTCTTTTATATTTTGACCCCTTAAATAACGCATCAAAATACATATTTTTGAATTGTTAATAATTTAAGATATTTATGATGACCTTGATATTTATCTTTCTTTGTAACTTCAACATTTTGATATTATTCTTTTTAAGTAAGAAAGTATTGAGACAAAAAACAATTGACATGGTTCAATATTAGGGTTTTTTTTTTTTTTTTTTTTTTTTTTTTTTTTTTTTTTTTTTTTTTATAGGAAACCCCTCGTGTGTTTAGCCTTTTTTGTAGTTAGCACCTTGCTGTTTTGAAAATCCAACCCTTCCCCTCCATTTTTTATGTACCGTTAGGGCTTTTTTATTTTTATTTTTTATTTTTTTTAATTTTGTAAGGAATAGTTGTAACTATCACCCAAATTCAATCAATCTAATATCAAAATTCATCAACAATTAATACTTTTTTGGAGGTTAAATTATGAATTGTTGATAAATTTAAAGATTGATTGATGAAAATTCCAAAATTGTGGGTGCTCGCTATAAAAAAGACCAAACACATAGGGCTAGGGTCATTTTCAAAACCAACATGTGCCACTCAAAAAAAGTCAATCACACATCGGTTCAATAAAAAGCCTTTTAACATGACAAACAAATTTTGGAAATGATCTTTATTTTATAAAGTATATGAAAAGGTATACAAACTTAATTCCTTTTGTTCTTTGTGTAATTAAATAATAGATATAAAATTCATTATATAATTTATTAAATGTGTTTGTGAGGTATTTTCTAAAAATTAAGAATTTTTTTTTTTTTTTTTTTTATAATCGGGGGTGTCTAGACCAACTTACATGCACCTCAACTAATCTCTTGGAATCCTAGAACTACCGATCGGGTAAGAGTTTCAGTGTCTACCCTTAAGAGTTTAAATTTGATATATTTGAAGAATGTTTATGTGAAATTTAAAAGTTAATTTCATATATATATATATATATATATATATATGATAATTTTCTAAGTGACCACTCTTGACCCCCTCCCTCGGGTTTATGGTCATACAACCTTGTTATGTCTACAAATCAATTACTATTGAAGTGGAATTAGTTGCTAAAAGTATATCTTAAACTACCAAATATTAATTAACTTAAATATTTTATGAAATATTTCAAGTTATAAGGTGATTTTTGCCAAATTAATTTTAATGATTTCAATTTGTGTGACAAAATACACATATATAGTCATTGAAGCTAGTGGGCATTTTCGCCTAAAAACTCACAAATTTCATTCCATTCATCAAAATTCTTTATTATAAATAAACAATGTAATCTTAGTCAGTTCTTTCATACATTCACATTACTTTCCCAATTCTATTCAATCAAGGAAGTAAACACCATATAAATTCTTATTTTCTTTAAGATTATCGATAGTTCAAATATATTTCTTTACTAAGATGATTTATGTATAAAATAGAGTGAATATTTACTTCAATTAAAAAAATAAAAAAAATTAGGGGCCATTTGGACAGGGTTAATATTAGATAATTGGGGTAATATTTTTTTAAATTGATCAAATGTCGATGTTTGATTGGTTTGTAAAAAATCATTCCCATTATATTTTATGACAAACAGTAGCATTTGGAGGGTAAATTGCTGGGAATCTTAATAACTTTGTGTGTGTGTGTGTGTGTGTGTGTGTGTGTGTGTTGGGGTGGAGGGGTGTGTTGGTTGTGTGGGCTGCTGTCATTAAAACATACCATTGGTAATACAATTTTGTTTCCCATGTTGCCCCTAAATATTTGGTCCGGATTAACCTTATATTTGTTAACATTTACAAAACACCCAATTCACTTATGCAGACATTTTTGTCCTTGTTTTTAAATTTTTCGGACAACATTGCCCTTGTTATTGTCATTATTTACAGAAATGTCATTATACTCAAAACTAGCCACCATCGCCAACCACCATCGACCGCTGTCGAAGGCTGCCAAAAGTTTCCATAATGCGTACGATCGGCTGTGCGCCGGTGAGGCTTTTTCCGATCATGGATCATAGATCCATGGTCGGAAATGGCCAAATCTAGCTATTTCACGGCTAGATCATGGCCGTACTGTTATTAAAACATACCCTTGGTAATACAATTTTGTTTCCCATGTTGCCCCTAAATAGTTGAGCATTTGGTCCAAATTAACCTTATATTTGTTAACATTTACAAAACACCCAATTCACTTATGCAGACATTTTTGTCCTCATTTTTAAAATTTTTCGGACAACATTGCCCTTGTTATTGTCATTATTTACAGAAATGTCATTATACTCAAAACTAGCCACCATCAACCGCCGCCGAAGGCTGCCAAAAGTTTCCATAATGCGTACGATCAGCCGTGCGCCGGTGAGGCTTTTTCCGATCATGGATCATAGATCCATGGTCGGAAATGGCCAAATCTGGCTATTTCACGGCCAGATCTATGGTCATTTCACGGCCAAAGATGTGGTCGTGAAACGGCCAGCGTTTCACGGCCAAAGGCGTGGCCATTTCACAGCCATAGATCTAGTCGTGAAACGACCAAATCTGTGGCACTGCTAGCATCACGGCCAGATCTATGGCACTGCCAGCGGTGGTGGCTGGCTGCCAACAGTGGGTTGGGGTCGATAGGGGTGTTTTTGTTAAGTTTAAAATGTTTTTGGTTGCTAGGGTGTTTTTGCTAAATCTGAAAAGTAGGGGGTTAAAATAAATTATTCAAAAAATAATAATAAAAAATACTGTTATATTAATATTTAAAAATGAGGCCAATTTAGTAATCTATATAACATACCCATCTATTTATCCTCCCAACCAAACATATTAGTCACGAATTTATTCGAACCAACTAAACATATCTTCTAAATATTCCCAGTGATATTTTATTTCGTTAATATAATATCCTCCTATAATAAAACATTATATGATTCAAACGCCCATTTAATAAATTATAATAAATAACCAATATTTAAAACTAGAGACATGCTAGCTAACTTAGCCCAAATAATGTTAGAGGAAGAGCGTAAGAAACATGATTCAAGGGTTCCCACACTCTCACTAATGTGAGGGAGGAAGAGGCTAACGTAACATAACATTACCATTTATGTATTTATATAATGGAAGATGTTGCTCAACTTAGCATAATTTTTACTCCTATTTGCACTTGCCATGGTATTTTTTTTTTCTTTCTGCAAATGCCAATTCCTAATGATTTTTCAAAGAAAACGAATTTGAAAAGAGCTTTTAACTTTCAACTTTAATTAAGTAGTTATGCATTTAGCCCTAAAAACGTGTTTTGATAAATCTTTTTAAAAGTAATTGTAGTCAACTTATTTCATAGTCTAAAAACTCTAACTTAAGTTCACATAAGTTAAAAGTGATCCAATTTTGGAAAAGGGACAATATGACAGAACACGAGTTGTGCTTCCCAAGAGGAATGAGACCATCAATGCGAACATGATAAGTTAAAAGGCTTCGACTTCTAGGCTCCAGCAAGAACCAAAAGATAAAAACGATGTCGTACCAGTGGAAGTGGAATAGTATGAGAAAATTTAACTTATAATATTTGCTTCATTGACTTCATCGAATTCCTCTTTGGATGTATAACCCGTAAACTTGGCTCTTGGCATAATGGGTTATCCTTTTCTTATTTACTTTTTGACTTCTTGCAAACCAACAAAACCAGCTCTATCTCTTTCTTCCCAAGAAGAGTTCGATGGAGTCAATGAAGTAAATATTAATTAATTGTACAATTCCCTTCTCCATTGTTGGATTTTATGCGTTTACATCCCCAATGCAAACATAAATATCTCGATAGAATACGACATCGTTTTGTTCTCTTGCCAGAAGTCAAGAAGTCAGAGCCCTCTACTTCTCACGTTTCAACCAATGAAATTCCCCCACGTTGACAGTCGTCGATTTTACGTGACTTCATGTTTACTTCTCATGCTTCAAACTGCCAAACCAAAGCTTGTCCACATAACAAACGGCTGTTCGCGGTTTGGAAATGATGATATAAACCAACAAGTTTTTCCAAGTGAAAATAATACAACAACCTTCACTATAGTGACTTGCTATCTGATATTATTCTCCTTCACTTCTCTGTTTATGTTTTAATGATAATTAATGGTAAAGGGTACGTGATGACATTAATGCTCCTTTAAAACTTTCATGAATTATTCCTCAAACAGATAGAAGAAGAAAAGGAGAGAAAAATGTTCAGGCTACATAAAACCCGACCAACTAAATCTGGGGAGAGAATAGATTTCAAGTTCTCTCACTTTAAAGCTCTCCAGGTATTTATATTAATTGCATTGCATGTTGTTTTATTGAGTGTTTATTTTCAAGCAAAAGAATGGTGAACGGGGCTACTTGTTTGTGTATTTTTGTACGTAACGCAGGTGCCAAAGGGATGGGACAGGCTGTTTGTATCTGTGATATCTGTGGAAACTGGGAAAACCATTGCTAAGTCGAGCAAAGCGCTTGTGCAAAATGGGATTTGTCAGTGGACGGAGACGGTGTCAGAATCTATATGGGTTTCGGAAGAGGAGTCTTCTAAGGAATTGGAAGACTGTCTCTTCAAGTTTGTTGTTTCCATGGTAATGTGATTGTTCTTATTGGTTTGTATTGGATTCTGTTTCATTGACTCTCTATAGGCCTCAAGTTTGGAGGGAGTTCTGATTGCTTATACATCAACTATTTATCTAAATGTAATGATTTTTTTTAATAAATGGTATTGGATGTGAATGTTTGATCTTAGGGGTCAGCTAGATCTGGCATTCTTGGTGAGACTAAAGTGAATATGACAGGCTATACGAGTTCAAGTGCTGTTGTTCCAGTTTCTTTACCTTTGGATAAGTGCAATCACGGGACAGTTCTACAAGTAAGTTGTGCAGTTAATATTATGCTGTTAATTCTTTGTTATTGGTGTCTTCTTGCTTCATTAATTGCCTAACATAAGTTTAATTTGGGTATACTGTCTCTTTATGTGAATGCAGAGGTATAAAATTCTATTTTAAACTGTATAATCAACTTTTATTGGTGACCAAAAACGTTAGTTGCTTAATTATATAGTCTTAAGGCTGGTTTATGATTGGTATAATTGTATCATACTCTCTCATGCATTGTTGTGTGATAAACGAACATGATTAAATTAAATGTAAGTTTGTCTAAAGTATAACGTAGAATTTAGATTTCACTTAGAATTTAAATTTTATTATAGTTCAATATAAGTTAAGATTTTAGTCTGGTAGGAGCTTTTATGTTTTCACCTTTCAGTGTGCTGGCCTTTGTTCGGATCACTAGTCATTGCTTCAACAATTTTTTCTAGATGATAAATGTATAATCTGAAACCATTTTAAAAGACAACAAGAATCCTATCTGGTTGCATCTCACATATATGTTTGTGATTGACTGAATGTAGTGAAAAAAATGACAATTAATGGTTGGAACATTGGCTTAATTATATAAGTTGAAAGAATTGAAACTATCTTGCTTGTCCATCTGAATTGCAGGTCAAAATTCATTGCCTAACACCAAGAATAAAACTCAGGTTTGATCCTCTTTCTGGACTTTCTTTTACTATAATTCTACAGGCATTGCTATTCAGCTTGACATGAATGAGTTGGTGCACTTTTTTCAGGAAAGATGAATCGAAAGAGCAAAATTCTCAAGAGGAAGATCTTAATGCAGAATCCCGCGACATGGACACCAAGCCAGATGGATCTGATAGTATACTTCCAAAGAGCAATGGATCCTCCTCCAGTAAAGAGTTGGGTTCTACCTTGCATAAAGAAGAACCGGAGAGTAGGGTGCGTAATATTTTTCTGTGAAAATGGATTACGATTGAAATTTTGGTGTTCTGTTTTTTGACGATCATTTTGCATGAATTCACCTAAAGAAACAATATAAAGTATTTACTGCTTAAATCAGACATTAAGCAAACTTTTAAATGATTATCTCACATTTTGGATTTTCTATATGGAAATAAAGTATTCTTTTCATTTTCTTCAGGGAACAAGTTTTGCTGCTTCTGACTCACATCAAAGCTATGAGTCAGGTGAGGTTTCCTTGGAGGGTGAAAATTTCTCTTCAAGAAAGAACTCCAATGGTGATGATGGACTCAACCTAAGCGGGGGACCAGACTCAAGCAGTTCGCAGAACAATGTACCTGAAGGCAATTATCATGTTGAAACGCCTTCTGAATCAAATCAGTCATCATGTAATTCGGAGGATACAGGTTCAGGAAATTATTCCAAGCACAATCAGGAAGATCTTGCTTTATCAGCAAGTGGAATCAGTGCTTCGACTAAAAGCCTTCTGAAAGCTGCAGAGGACACAATACAAGAGCTTCGTGCAGAGTCTAAAATGTGGGAGAGAAATGCACAGAAGTTGATGATTGATTTGGATATACTCAGGAAAGAATTCTCTGATCAATCCAAAAACCATGCAAGTTTGCAAACGGAGCTTAAAGCAGCGTGCACAGAACGTGATGGGTTCAGAAATGAAGTTGAGCAGCTGAAATTGTTGTTAGAGAAAATGGAGAAGGCAGCAGGTTCGGAGAATTCAACATTTCAAGATGGAGGTGTAACCCATTTTCAAAAAGAATTTGAAGATGAAATTAAGTTTCAGAAAGAATCAGGTGCTAATCTGGCTCTGCAGTTGAAGAGGAGTCAAGAATCAAATATTGAACTTGTCGCTGTTCTCCAGGAGCTAGAAGAGACTATAGAAAAGCAGAAACTAGAAATAGAGAATCTTTCATTGCTGCAATCAAAGTTCAGCCATATGGAAGAGTCTATCGACGTAAACATTGAAGAAAACAAAAACACAATGCTCCAACTGCAGCAACTCCAGGAATCAGAAAGAAATTTGAAAGCTGAGGTACAACTACTAGAGCAGGCCTTAGAGCAAAAAGACCTTGGCATAGAGAAGCAAAAGAGTTTGCGCAACCAAAATCTTCTGCATGTTGAGACAGAATACAAAGCTAAGTTGTTAGCCAAAGATACTGAAATTTCTGGTTTAAAAGCCAAGTTATCTGAGTTTCATGAGAAATTTTTTACAAAAACGGTGTCCCTAAACGGCGGTGAAGCTGATCTGAGTGAAGAAATTGAAGACCTAAAAGCAAAACTGCAGGAGCTGGAGAAAGATTGCAATGAGTTGACAGATGAAAACCTTGAGCTTCTCTTCAAGCTGAAGGAAATAAAGAGCTGTTCCAGTGAGCATAATGTGAGTCATCATGAATCCAAAGAGCATAATCTTGAACAGAAGCTAAAGAAGAAAGTGCTCAGGGAGATTAAAAGCCAATATGATGCCTCAGTGCAACAACTTGAGAGTTTGAAAAATGAACTGGAAGTCAAGGTAGCAGGGCTGGATGAGGAATTGAGTCAAAGAAGATCTGAAATAGAGCGACTTCAAGATAGCTTGTTGTCCAAAGAAGAGGAGACTAAAAATCTTTTGTGCTATCAAAATGAATTGGAAGCTAAGGTTTCTAGTCTTCAAAATGAAAAAGTCCAGCTAGAGGAAAACATAACAATCATCTTGAGAGAAAGTGAAATTGCTACCAAGTGCATGAATGATTTGCGAAAAGATATAAGGTTGCTTAGCAGCAGTGTGGATTCCCATGTTTCAGCCAATAGAATACTTGAAAAGAAATCTTCAGAGCTAGAAAGTGAAGAGCACAAACTGGAGGCCCAATTATCAGAAATGGAAAATGGAAATGCAGAGTTATCAGCATGCATTTCCAGCTTGGTGGCGCAAGTAAAGTCACTGACTACTGAGAGGGAATCAATACAACTAGAGCTAGAGAATTCTAATGCTCTTGCTATGAATCTCCAAGATGAGCTCAAAAGATTGAGAAATGACATGGAGACTCAAGAAACAGATATGAAGAAAGAGCTGGAGGAGATGCATAATCAGTGGTCAGAAGCACAAGAAGAGTGTGAGTACCTGGGAAGAGAAAATTTGAAGTTACAATCCACTGCTAATAGTCTCATCAAAGAGTGCAGTTCTGTTCAGAAGTCAAATGGAGAATTAAAGAAGCAAAAGTTTGAATTGCAAAAGCATTGTACCCACTTGGAGGAAAAGCTGAGAGAGTCAAATGAAAACTTTGCTAATTGTTCCAGAAAACTTGAAGGTTTAGAAGAAAATCTTTCTTCCATGCTGGAAGATATTGCCTTGAAAGAGAAAAGCATAACTTTGCAGTTCGATGCACTTTTCGATGAAAATGGAAAACTAAGGGAGAAACTTGCTCTGGCAGAAAGCTTGTTAACTCAAATGCATTTAGAGAAGACGGTTGAAATTGACAATCTTCAACAGGAGATAGCAAACCTCAGAAAGCAACTCTCAGCAACACTTGATGAGAAAAAGAGGATAGCTTCTGAAGCTGAGCATGAAGTGTCTGGTCTACATGCTGATAACGCTAAACTGGAGTGTGCTCTTCCTGATCTTCAATGTGAATTGAAACGGGTGGAGAATGAGCTCAACAATATTCAAATAGAATCACAAGCAAAAGTTCAAGGCCTGATGGGGGAGCTTGCTGCTTCCAAACAAAACCAAGACTTGCTGATGGTTAACCATGAAAAGTTGTTGAAGCAGTTGGAGATATTCAAATCAAATGAAGAAAAATTTAAGATCAGCTTGAATGATCTTGAACTACAGCTTACAGTGTCTGAATATGAGCGGCAACAACTCAGGGAACAGTCTACCAATGTGAAAGTTCAGTTGTTGAGCATAGAACATCTTGAACTGGAATTTTTGTCTCTAAGGAATGAGCTCAATGCAACAATATCAGAGAAAGAGGAATTGAGAACTTCATTGCATCATAAGTGTGAGGAATGTGAGGATATGAAAGCACAAAAAGATTCATGTTTGGAGAAGATTTCTACCTTGCAGAGGGATGTGTCTAAACTAGGGGACTGCAAACGTCAGTCTGCCGCCTTGGAAGAAAAGCTTTTGCAGATGGAGGATGACCTAATGGAAAAGGAGGAAATACGTGTACAGGATAACGAGCTCAAAAATGAGCTCTCCATGATCAAGAAGGCTAACAGGCAACTTCAGTGGAAGATACAACTACTTGAGGAAGAGAAAGATAAGTTTCTTATGAGATCTCAAGCCCTCAACGAAGAATTGAAGTTGATGAAAGAAGAAAAACAGAATCAGAGGGAGTCCAGCAGCACAAACTCTAACAGAAGTCAACATCAAAAAGAGGTAACATGTAAGCTTTGTTTGTGCACATACATGTAATGGTAACATTAAACTGCAAAATGTATCCTTTTCCCATTCCTGGGGATTTTTTTTCTAGATAATTGATGCTTCTGTCACTGACTCTCTTTTGGTACAGGGTGATAATGGATACAAAGTTTACCATAAGAGTTCTCCTGCTGCTTCAGGCTCAAAGATTCAGTTGCTTGAAGCTGAACTAGCCAAAACTAAGGAAGCAAATAGCACGTACAAAGCACAGATCAAGAGGTGAGTTCCCATAGCATAGTATGGCTTCATAAACAAAAATTGTTTGCATAGCTTATTCTGAAGGCCACATTGATATTGGCATTATTAATTGATACAAATTTTTAACAGTTTGAAGGAAAAAAGAAGGTTTTTCTTTCTCATTAATGTTAGTCAGTTTCGCAGGAGTCACATATATTTTTTCAAGATTGAGCTTGAATCTAATTAGATTACCTTTTGTTCTTTTCATGAACTAAAAACTGTAAGTATCTACTACAACTGATTTCAGTAGAAATCACCAACATTTACTACATGGAAATTTACTTGCGAGAACAGACTTTTGAGTGTAATCAATTTGAAAGAGGATGAATGCATCAATTGAAGCCTATCTGGCTGGCTTACTGTTTTTATATTCTGGATACCACAATGAGACATTATATAAGGTGAAACAACTAAACAAATAAAACTTAATGGTCGGAGCCATCAGGGAGGTAGCATGTGACCCTATTAATGCAGATTTTATTACTTGTATATTTCATTTTTAATGTATTCTTCAATTGCTGTTGCTTAGCAGGTTGTCATCTGAGGGCAAAAGCCACCGTGTAAACGGTAGAAAATCTGTAGCCGAAGGTGAAGTTGTGACAAAAGAAAGATTCGAACGAACAAAATCATCTCTAGAGTCAGAGCTAAGAGACATTCGCGAGCGATATCTCCAAATGAGCCTCAAATATGCTGAGGTAGAAGCTCAGCGCGAGGAACTTGTCATGAAGCTTAAGATAGCCAAAAATGGGAAGAGATGGTTTTCTTAAGTTGAATGACATTAATTTTCAATTGAGCTTCTCGTTTTATTGCAGATAGCATTTTTCAAGAATCAGTTAATATGTCAAAGGTTCAACTTCCATGACATTCAAGAGAGTAAGTTCTTGGGAGGAGAAAAAAAGAGAAAGTACCCCCATTTGTAAAATATGAAATAATTGATGGAAAAGTTGCAGAATTTCATATTAAAGTAACATCAAATTGTAATTGAACCTGGAGAGTTGAAAATACAATGAACAAGTGTTCCATAAATAAAATATCAAAGAAGTTTTCTGATGCATACGCAGTTGCTTTATCAAATTTCAAATTGGTTATTTTTGTATCAAGTAATATTCTCTCAGAGTTTCCAGATACCCGCATATGCCATCAATTTCAGAGTTTCCTTTTTCTTATTAAAACCTCAAAATACTTGAGGCAGAGTACACATCCTCGGACTCTCCGATCTCCATTCTAAATTTGTCGCAACTTTTATTTTAGAATTCTAGAGTCTGTAAACTTGTACACATTGAATAAATTCACGACTGTACTACCATCCACAAAACCATTTCTTAATTTGGTTGTTATATGAGTCAGCAAAGAGCCAGCCATTTCAACAAAGGCATTACGTAATCAGAAAGAGCATCAATCTTTTCTGTTTGAAAGAACAAAAGAATGATACTGCTGGTGTCATCAAGAATATGAAATCTCACTCAGCTAGGAAATATATTTAAGGACACTAAAGAAAATGGCCTACCCCATTTTAAATAATTGATGTCAATTCATTGAGGTACAATTTGGTGTAAATTCCATTGCACATTGTCTATGTCACTTGTGAACTTTAGAGAAATTGATACCACGTGTAGAAGGGTTTTACTGTACTAAGATAATTTCTATGTTTAAGGTTTGGAATCAATTAAGCAAAGCCCTATCTTGATGACATTAGCATTGAAAATATCTTAAATGAGATTTTATTAGAATTATATATGTCATAATTCTACATTTAATTAATAGAAATAGATTTATTTTTTATTGCAAACTAGATGGATAATATCACTTTATATGCTGGTTTTTTATGTTAACGACTGTGAGGGGTGACATAAAAATAGAGTACAGATATTCATCGATTATGTGGATTCTGTGTGTTCGTGATAAATCGTAAAAGAGTAGTAACATGTATAATGGTATCCACTAACGAGTGGAGTCCGAATATTAATCAAAATATGAATTAGTAAATATTTGACCAATGTAACTTATATCCTATCTAAAAGGCAGTTGACAAATTAAAGTAAATAATTTGATGTGCAATAGTCCATTCTTGAAACCACATCAAAAACAGGAAGATCTTGGTATAGGAATATAAAATATAGGGAGGGGCTTAAAAAGAAAAGTAGAAAGATTGAAAATAATGAATTGAGGAGGTGTCATCATGTGTTGAACACAAAGCGGGTGGCAATGGCATATCCCTTGGAAGATGCTGCAATCTCCATTTCACTCTGTCTACTTTAATTTCCTTTTCTTCCTTTCAAACAAAAGTGACCACACACACCTTCTTAAGTCATCTCAACCTTTAATTGCTCTCGTGACCAACTAAACAAACCAAAAAAAATAACCCCTATAACAACCCCTCTCATCATTCATTATCAAACCCTCTTCCCACAGCACCATCCCTGCAAGGCCACCCCTCCCCATGCCTCAGTTTCTCAAACCAAAATGGTAGGGGTGGCCTTGATGCTCTTATTGTTTTCTTAAAGCGATGGTGCTGCGTACTTTCTATGTTTGATTTATTCCCATGAATCTTTTTGAAGGTTTTTTGGGAGTTCTTCTCTTGTAGGGCAACTTCGATCCTTTGGCATTTTTCACTTCCTTGGGCTCAGATCTGTCTTTGCTAGCTGCATTTAGATGTTTTTTCAGCTCGAGAGCATCTCAAGGGCGAGTCAGATTATGTTACGTTAGTTTGTTATGTTATGTTTCTCTTGATTTTCAGTGATGTATTCTACGAGTATCAGTGCTTTGTTGCCAGGTATTTATGATTTTCGTGATCATAAATTTAATAAGCCTCTGGCGTGAGTTTATGTAATTGCAGTTCATATTTTGTCTCTCTTTCAGCAATTAATTGCTTTATTTGCTTGCACTTGAATTACGATGATGATGTAGTTGGTTTGGTTGTATTAATTAATTCATAAAATATGAAAGGGTTAATTTGGGCAGATTATTTAATATAATTGCTTTCTAACTCGTGTATAAATATATAGTATTTTTTAAGCCTTACTAGCTGCTTCTTGACTGAACAGGGTTAGATAGTTAATTAGCTACTATAAAAAGGATTTCTTAATTAATTAGGTCATACACTAAAAGATGATATTGCATATCAATGTGTGTTGTTGAATTTCACATCAAAATGACACAGAAGCAGAAAGGTGTCCCAACTTTGACAAATAGAATCACTTGATTTTGTTTTAAACAAATTCCTTTTTGATGAAGATGTAGATGATGACTTCAATCTTAGGGTTTTTTTTTTATTTAGATGGATTGTTAATTTAATTACTTGGTATGAGTATGGATTTTAAATAAGTTTTGCAATTAATTAATTCAGTTATTCTTTAATGTAAATGTTTGTTTATATATATATAGATACATTATATATAATATATATATACATATATTAAACAGATATGACATAAGCTCAGTTTCTTGCATCATAGTTCGTTAAATATAGAATAAGCTGCCTGAATTGATAAGTTGTATGATTAAATATCAATAATTAGGATTTTTTTGCTATACTTTTTTCTATATATTGTATAATATTTATTTAGTATCTTTTATTGCAACTTTTTACCTTTGCTAATATGAAACAGTGTGATAAATTATTCAGATCAATTCAATAACCCTACAAATTAATTATAAATAATTTAATAAAAATACATCAATAATAACATAAAGTTTTAATATTTATAATTATGATAAATTTTCAATTTGTATTATTGCTTACCCTGAAACATGGTCAATGGACTAAGGTAATAGTACTTTATTTTTATTTTTTGGTCTTTTTGGTGTGGGACATATACCCATTCATATTGAAAAGAAACATACTTTGTGCATAATCTAGTTGGCTTCCAAGATTATATTCCACGTGTTTTGAATGATGAAATTATATTCCACGCCTATGAGATTGCCAACTCTTAGTTATATTCAAAATTACAATATTACACTTACAATTCTATCTACAAATTTTCTTTTATAACTCTGATATAACAGTTTCTCAATTGGTCAACCATATTGACATGCAAGACCTATAACAAACAAGTGGAATTTACTTGCGAACTACCATTTAAACTTTTATGTAGGGATGTGAGATTGAGTGTCGCAATTTTTATTGTTATTCAAAATCATATACTGGAGATAGCAACTATTATAATTTTATTAAACCCCCCTAAAACTTGTTGAAAATGCATCGCTCACATCCTAAGACATAACAACTTCAAGCTTTTGGTAGATTTGATTAAGCGTTATACGTTTACCCCTAAACGTAGATAGAGAGAAATTTAATGAAATGCCCCTAGTTCTGAAATGCATAATAATGACCAAACCATAGCCCCGATATTATTGAGACTAATGAAATTACGCCTTCTATAACTCCGGGAAATTGACACTTTTTATCCCATAACTACGGAAACTATCAAGACACTCCCTACCATTAATTTTTGCCATTAAAAATTCATCTATCTAAAGTTAAATCAGTTTTGTCACGTACAAAGATTTTTCAATTAAAGATAAGAAAAAAAACCCTCAAATAGAAAAAGGAAATTAGAAATCGAAAATAAAAAAAAAAGTCCTAAAAGAAATTTGAAAAAAAATTAAAAAAAAAATTGTAGTACATTGAAGATCACAACCGATCGCAACAGTGATCTGAGACCACGACCATAGATCACATAATTTTCATATATTAATTAATATATATGCTTCGTAAATTATTTATTTTTTTAAAGGGTTTTTTTCATATTAGGATTTTCTATAAAATTTTTCATTGTTTTTTATATTTAAATATTTTGTAAATAGATATAGTTTTCAAAAGTTTTTTTTATTTTTGCATAATTTTTAATTTTTTTGGATTTTTTATCTAAATATATATAATCTTCTTTGTCAAAATAGTTATTTTTATTCAAGGGTTTTACATAGATTTCATTAGGATTTTTCCTTAATTTTTTGATAAATGATTAAAAAAAAAAAAAAAAAAACTTAGAAATAGTCTTTCAGTTTAAAATTACTAAAATGCCCTCAATTGAATCAACTCAAAGAGATTGAGTTTTAAAATTAAGGGGGTATCCAAAACTTTTCAAAACTCCTTGGGCTATCTGAAGTTAACCTATCTCTCAGAAGTTATATAAAAAAACCTAAACAGGAGCTTCATCGATATTATTGTTTTGGTCCTTAGTTGTGAGTGTTAGAAAATATGGGGGAATTTTAATTAAAATCGGCATAATTCCCTGAAGTGAGACTTTCTAAAATCTTGGGAGTAAATTGGTTTTCTCTTGTAAAATTTAAAAAGAATTTAATCATTTTAAATGAAATTACCAAATGCCCAAAACCTTAAGTAAATTACCCAAATGCTCTTAACCCTAACCCAAACCCATTCTCACTCTCTATCAACTGTCGACCACCACCTTCAAGTGTGGGACAACAGCGACCTCCAACGACTCCGACACTTTGCGAGTTTGTAAAATGGGTAAGACGATTGAGGAAGATGAAGAAGGGAACGAAATCAGAAAGATAAAAGAGGGAAGAAAAACAAAGAAGGTAAAGAATGAGTTAAGCGAAAGAAAAGGTTTTAAAAAATATTCAAGTTCTTGTTTTCTTAAATCTTTAAGATTGGAAAGAAAGTTAAGGAAGAATCAGATGAAGAAGAGAACAAAAGTGAGGGGAAAGAAAGGAAAAAGTATTAAAAAAAACCATTTAGACCAAAATATCTTTCAATCATTAAAATATAATTGACGGCAGGGGGTTCTTTAAGACTTTCCCAAAATCCTTGGTCTGTTTAAGCTCAACATTTCTCTCCAGGGTGGATAATTAAAGAATAATACTACACATACAACATTATGTGGCAAAAGATGATTGGGTGAAAATTTAATTTTAATTTAAAATCAGCCAATCATATTTTGCCACATAATGTTTTATGAGAAATGTTGTATGTGTAGTATTACTCATAGTTAAAAACCCCTCTAGGTGCATATCTCTCCAAGGTGGATAATTAAAACCCCCTATAGCCTCTAGGTGCATATCTAATTGACCGGAT